GGAAAATGGGCCAAATTTCGACAGGTAGGTGTGGAAACTCGGGTGTGCGGACCGGTACGAATTGAGTGGGTGTCTAAATCTTCTTCTGCGACACGTTGGTGTCGAAAATTGACCAAAAATCGACCTGTATGTGTCGAAAATTGCCGACGGGTTTCAAAAAAAAAAACTTCAAAATCGACTTCGAAGCTCAAAAAAGACATCGATACTTACCTTAATGGCTTCTCTTTCCACATATACTACCATATTATTGTCTTATAACTCCATTTTATAAGTTTTGTGAGGTTTTGATTTTTTGAATTTGGAGATGTTTTGGAGGATTTAAGAAGATGAAAAAGATAGGGTTTAATTGGGTTGTCGCGGCAGTTACGAGCACGTACGGTGGCGTTCGACGGCGGCGGCGTCGGCGGCGGCGGCGGCGGCGTCGGCGGCGGCGGCGGCGGTCAGGGTTGGAGAGGAGAAGAAATGGTGGAGGTTTTTTTTTTTAACAACAAAGGGTTTTTTTCTTTTTTTTTTATTTGGTTTTTGAATAGGTAATTTCTAATAAAATTTGATATAATTGATATTTTGTATGAAAGGGTGTTTTTGTAATTTTCTTTTTATTTTGGTTTTAAAGTAAGAAAAAACTTATAAATATGTACTCAATTGTGGTTTTCAACTAGGTAGTATTCAACTAAGCAAAAATTAGTATTCAAAATAGTTGCCCCCGGTGCAAAATACTAGTTTAAAATGATATAGTACTGTTGCATTTGGAAAATGGAATTAAGCCATTTTTTTATTTAAATTAAATTCCCCCAAAAAAGTGATGGTCCACTTGTATGCAATTATATGCAATATCAAGTTCGAAATTAAAAAGCGCATCTCAATAACAAAGTCGCTGTAAAGGAAAAGAAGGTTTAGTTCCACACTGGATAAGATTGTAGTGGATGTTACAGCAGAGGCGCCGCTCCCCCTATCTCTCTTTCCACGGTCCATCGCCTCACCAGATCCGACGTCGTTCTCTTCATATTTATTTTTCTTTTACCGCCCACTCTTCTCTCCGGTTCTCTCTCTATCCCTACTCTCCACTACTTGCCTTTAAATTATACAGAATCAAAACGACTTTTATTTTTGGTTTACAATTTTATAGAAATAGGACTCTGTAATCGGCGAATGAAATCATGATAAGCAGATTTTGTATATAAAAATTTTGTGAAATTTGATTTACCCGTGAAACGTTCTGAAGTTAGGAAAGCTAATAAATGCATTTTTGGGATATTATATTCATTGAATTTACGCATTTTGGTAATTTGTTATGCCTTTTTCTTGTTTGCTGGTTAATTAATTGGCCATTTTCTGTTTGTGTATATGCAAATTTTCTGAAATTTGATTTACTTGTGAAATTTCTGTTTTTAGGATTCTTTCTTGTAAATGAAGGTCCATGGATACTAGCCTGGATGCTGAGGTGCAGGGTACTTCTAAAGATGACGTCAGAGAGAAAGTTGATCCTACTTCACTAGTTGATGCTGATATGAATCAGATAAGTGAGGCACACAACCTCTCTTATGATGCTGACGTGGCCTTTGTCCATGAACAAACATCCGTCAGCCAAGAAGCTTCCTCTGCCGAGAAAGATGGTATGGACATGGATAGTGAGAGTACATACAGCTGCTTTAATTCCTCGTCTGACGAAAAAAGTATTGATAGTGTTGCTGCACATGAGTTAACCACACATAACAGTGACCATAATGGGTTAAACAAGGACCGTGAATACGAGAATCGGAGTTCAAAGACAAGCAGTAGTGACAATGATCATAGTCCCGGTACATCCTCGAACAACCAGCCTGCGTCTACGTTTGATGCACTGTCTGGATCTGTTCAAGTCGTAGAAGACGGAATTGGAGAGTATGTAGTGCCAAATCTTGGTGTGGAATTCGAAGCCGAGGAGCATGCGTACAAGTGTTACAACAGATATGCTCTCATGGAAGGTTTCAGCATCCGTAAAGATTTCGTGAATAGAAGTAAGGTTACGGGTTTTGTGGTATCGAGGAGGTACACTTGCCACAGGCAAGGGTATGGTTCTACCAAACGTGATGCGAATGTGAATAAACCCCGCCGAGAAACAAGAACCGGTTGCCTAGCTCATATGACCATTACACGCCAAACGAATGGCAAATATCGTGTCATCCATTTCGAGAGAAGGCACAATCACGAGCTTGTCACACCGTTCACCGCTCATTTATTACCCGCGCAGAAGAGAATATCCTTTGTCGAGACTGTTGAGGCCGAATCAGATGTTGCCACCTCAGTGCCAGATGGGGTGCCGAAATTGGGCATGGGTTTTGACTCGGAAGATCTTGCTTACGAGTTCTACAATGCATATGCTGCGCGAGTAGGTTTCAGTGTAAGGAAGGACTATGTTAACAGGAGTAAGGTAGATGGAGCTGTGGCTTCTAGAAGATACACTTGTTTCAGAGAAGGTTATAGGCAGAACGACAAGAGAGGTTCCAAAGTAAAAAGACCAAGGAAGGAAACGAGAGTTGGGTGCATGGCACAGTTGGTAATTTCACGTCAATCTGATGGCAGATACCGTATTACCCACTTTGAAGAACGCCATAATCACGAGCTTGTCCATGCATGTAAAGTACGCATGTTAAGGTCACAGAAGAGGTCTATGACAAATCAAAATGGAGAATCCAGTCCATATGGGGGTGCTGAAATGCAGCCCAAATCACTTGCTGAGTTGTTATTAACAGGCGTAGGAATCGAGGATGATTTTTATGATCCCATAGATCACGAGATGAGGCTTACATCTAAACGTGCGTACTATATGAAGCAAGAAGAAGCAGAAAGTTTGAACCTGTATTTACAGAGCAAGAAATTGAAGGATCCTTCATTTGTTTATTGTGTTCAACTTGATGTGGAAGAGGAAATGACTAATTTCTTTTGGGCTGATGAGAAAATGCTGGTGGACTATGGTGATTTTGGCGATGTGGTTTACTTTGATTCGACCTATCGTCTGAACAAAGATTGGCGGCCGTTGGTTCTGTTTTTTGGAATAAATAATCACAAGCAGATTCTGGTATTCGGTGCTGCATTTGTGTACGGTGATACTTCAGAATCTTTTAAGTGGCTATTCCGAACTTTCGTGAAAGCAATGTCTGGAAAAACACCAAAGACTATCCTCTCCGACAGAGAGGCTGCAATAACCGAAGCGATTGTGTCTGAATTGCCGGAAACTCACCACAGGTTATGCACATGGCAAATATATCAGAATGCACTTAAGCATCTCAGTCAAATAGGGGTCAACTCAGATTCTTTTTCCAGCGATTTATGCGGTGTATTTTTTAATCCCGAGGAAGAAGAATTTGTTAATTCCTGGAAAGTCATGCTGGATACTTACGGTCTATGGGAAAACGATTTATTGCATGGCATTTTTGAAGAGAGAGAAAAATGGGCTGTACCGTACAATAAGCATATATTTGCTGCTGATATAGAAACTGCATTACTCTCCGAGGGTTCTATTACAAGCGTGAGAAAGTACCTTAAGCCCGAATCACATGTTCTTCAATTTGTCAAGCACTTTGGGAGGGTGGTGAACGAGTGGCGTTACAAAGAATTGGAAGCAAACTATGATATGGGCCATCATTTGCCGAGATTAATGGGAGATGTGGTAATGCTTAAGCAGGTAAGAGAAGTATACACACCTGTTATTTTTAAGATGTTTCACCAAGAATATGAAAATTGTCTGAATAATGTGATTAATGAGTGCATTGACACGGAGTCCTCGGTCGAGTTTAAAGTGAGTACATACGGTCAAGTTCGTCAGTATACAGTTTTATACAGTTCGGAAAACGATTCAGTTGTCTGCAGCTGTATGAAGTTTCAGTTTGTAGGAATTTTGTGTAGCCACGCACTGAAAGTGCTGGATTATAGGAATATAAAGATAGTTCCGAGCCAATATATTTTAAAGCGGTGGACCAGAAAAGCACGGGAATAAAGTGATTCATCGCTTGTGATTGGCAAGGGAAATGTAACTGTCTATCCTAGAGCATGTTGTTACACACGACGTAGATTAGCATGAACTGCTTCACTGTATATATTGTGGAAATTTATTGAAATTTTTTATAGTTCTAAATTGAGTTCCGATGTTGAGATTTTCCTCTGCTGCATTTATCGAATACTAGGAAATTTTTATTTACGAGTCCATGTATTATGGTAGATTTTTGCATTGTTCAGTGTTATAAGTCACAAACGAAAACGTTGCAAACTTGCAGAGAAGAGAATATGCATGTTCGATTGAGAAGTTGGTTGAAATGATAACCGAAAATACTTGTATAATATAGATACGTTGGCATATATTTATTATTTTCAAAAGAAGCATGTAGTAAGCAACAATCCTTGTGTATGTACCGAACTGAAAGGGAAAAAAAGTTGCATTGTTTCGGGTAAATCTAGTCTTCTGAGATATACAACACTTTATAAAATTGTATTTTTTTGCTGCAAAGACGATGAATTATGCACATACTATCATCACTGCTGAATATTTTGGAGATGCATTCTCATATGGGATTCTTTCAGTTGAAGAACATTCTTTTTCGATTCTTTTTTGTAATGATTCCTCCTAGTACTGCTGTCCGAGGTTGTCTTGCTGGAATCTGCATAATCAAATACCACAAATAATCTAACATAAACAACTTGCTGGAATCGATGAAAACAGCGTAGGCTATAACCATCATTTTGAGGATGTATACAAGAAGCCATTGGAGAAGCAATTAAATATACCTTTTTTCATGTGATTTTATGGGGCGAGCTTTGAAGCAAAAGCTACACCCCAATTTCCTATTTTCGTTTCCTGATTTCTCCTGTAAAACAATTGGACCTTTGAATCATTTACGCATAGGACAGACATATTTAAAACTCCCGTGATACTAAATGAAATCAGAAAATCAAATAAAAAGAAAGTGCTAAAGTTTGCTTGTATTAACCGTCAACGTTTTCTGCAGCTGCGTCGTTTGCAATTTTTATGAAAAAAATATTATATAAACGATGAGTATACAAGTTTCTTACCTGTTTTCTCATTGAAGCTCTTTCTTCTGTTCGTAGAATAGAAGAAGTGGATAAAGCTGGGGACTGTAGTTTGTTTCGACGGGCTTTCAATGGCTTGGAGCAACTGACAACACAAGCAAATTTGTAAGAAACTCGAACTCTTGTAAAACTATTGAAATCAGTAAACATATAGAAGGAGTAACAACAATCTTAATCTAATTACGATTTCACGTTCATATACAAGTGGATGCAGATCAACTGAAAACCGTGAATAGCAAACTCTAGACTTACACAGCAGACAAAATGTGCCATTTAGGACCAGTTTTGCTTCCTCGGACCGAAGGATCAAGTGGTGTTTTAATCCTGTGTATTACAACAACAGTCAAATAATCGTCACTAGTCAGCAATAATTAATCATCACAAACTCTTTTGATTGTAAAGATGCATCAAATTGCACGTAAAAAAATAAATTAAATTAGGCACCTTTTATTCTCGGATTGAGGGGCAGCTGCAGGATTTGTGGACACACCGTTAGTAGATGCCTGTAAAATAAATCAGGATGAATATAAAAGGATGCTTAACGAAAATCTTTCATATAATATAATATATAGCAAAAATGCCGTAAAAATTGAGAATCACCCAACTGTAGTCACACAATCTTGTTGAGGTATTCCGAGTGCAATCCCTAACTTTTCAGCTTTCTTGGTGGCAAAATTAGGATCTTTATCAGGCTCGTTATTAGGAAGTAAGTTCATTAAGGCACGTAATGAGTTTTGAGAGGATCTTTTCTTGTCGAAAGATTCCAAACGAGACTTGCTTGTGCTTCTGTTAATACTGTTTTCTTTGTTGAGATGAGGAGTCACAGGTTTGGCAGGTGTAGATTGAATTTCCCATGTTTTGCTCTGAATTGGTGACTTCATTGAAGCAAAACCTGATCTTTTCTTACATGTCAGTGATGGCGGGATTGGGATATTCTGACTAGCAACCGAATTCTGCTGTGAACACAAAAACTCGATTATAAAACGAGACAACTGTAAAAATAAGCTGCACAAAATAGTAACACCCAAAGATATCTCACCTTGAGCAAAGCCCTCTCCATTATTGTAGTTCCACTACTCCTTGAACAAGAAACCGCGTCCTTATTTTCAAGATTATCAAGCCGATTATCGTTCACGGGATTCTCACTCGAGGCTTCATTTAACGGTGTTACGGAAATTCCCCCCTCTTCACCAATTTCAACTACATCCATTTTCACTTCAACATACGATTGATCATAAGCATTACTATTATTATTATTATCACCAAATACTTGCGGAGGTTGTAATAATTGAGCAGCATTTTGTTGGTCAAGCAAAGCAGCAGCAGCCTTTTTAGCTGCAATTTGCTTGTAATGAGCCTCAAAGAAAGCCTTCTTCTCGGCAACGGAACCAGGCTGAGAGTATCTCTCGGCCTCTTCAACGTATTTCTTGTGCGAAAACGTTGACCATTTCTCCCATGACAAAGATTCTGTCGTAAACCTTCCAAATGAAACTGATTCCCCAAGACCATGCTGCATGGGGTTCCCCTGCAACACACATTAAAACTTGTCAAAAAAAAACCCGAAATTTTAGAACAATTCCAACAAATTTTTCTTACATTTTTGGAATCATTGTTGGGTATAGCAGAAGCATATGTGAAGCCATGCATGAGACAAGCCGAATCTCCCATTCTATTTGCAGACTCAACCAGACAATAAACAACCGTAGAACAACATCACAATGTAATGAATAACAGAAAACCTGCAATAAAAATCTATAAAAAAATATTAATATTGTTCTGGTCTACTGCTATGTGTGTGTCTGTTTTTTTTTCTTTTTCAATTTGAAATTCAAATAAATAAAAAAAGGAGACGTTGGGAGAAAAAAAGGCAGGCCAGAAATAGAGGAAAGTAGAAGTATTATACTAAATTACTAATACTAAACTCAATTATTCTTTAATTCTTTTTAATCTTCTTTTTTAGCCTATAGTGGTCCGGTCCCACATTTTTGAACTTGATAATAATTGTACATAACGTTCCATTTAGGGTTTCATGGAAGGGGAATCATTCCTAATGATGCTACCCACCAATACAACCACCTTCCTATCTCATCTTTATTTTTTCATTCTGATAAAAATAAAGTGAGGAATCTTTAATATTTTCCATGTATAATAAAATAAAATAAAATAAAATATTAATTTTTTTTCCTTCACAAAAAAGAAAAACAAAAGTCTTTGCTTTGCTGGTTTGAAACATGGGACCAAAAGAGGATGATGTTTTTGCTTGTAATAAAGGGTATATTATTAGTAGAGGAAGAAGACTGTTTGTTCAACTTGATGAATGAACCAACTCTAGTTGCTACATCACTATAGAGTATAAACTAAAGTACCAATACACACTACATTACTACATACATAAATCGACATCATCGACGTGTGTGTATATATATAACGTACATTTGTGATTTTTAAATAAAAGACAGAACACCAACAAATTCCACATAAACTCCATCAAACATCACACCATGCAAAAATGATTAGTCTTGGTTGGCACTTAGATTGTACCCTACTCTTTGAAGACTAAAATGTTACTTCTTGCGTGGTGGGTCCCGGCTGAGTCCGTGTTTCTTTAGAGTTTTGATGTAATTTCTCATGAGAGTAAACCTATCGCTACCAAGATGATAGAAGTAATCCCATGTAAAGATCCCCGTTTTATGCAAGTCATCAAAAAGCAATCTGCATCAATCACCAAACAATAAACGGATAAATTAATCAGCAATCATTACGAAACTCTTCTACTACATCCCCGCCTAACCCTCCATCCATCGGGTTTTCAATAAAATAAAAATAAAAATAAAGAAGCTCTTCTACGACATGGTTTCAAGTACTACCTGACACCATAGTTTCCCACAGGTTCAGCAGACATGATTCCAACATGACGTCTCCCGGATATAACCTTTTCACCTCCAATCGATCTAATCTTACTGTCGACTGCTGGGCTATATATTCTCAGGTATTCGGCTGACAGATTATATGCATTGCCATTGTCAAATTCCACCTCTACCTGAAAGAAGACTTCAAATCATAACGACATTACCATCAATACAAGAGCTATCAATCGATCAAAGAAATAATTTCGTTTGTATTTATTGAAGTAGCATATATTGTTAATTACTTGCACTCTGTGAAACGAAATGGATTTCAAAGCATAAGAATTGTCAGCCAAAACTGTTTATGTGTGTGCAGGATAACTTTAGCGCAGATTTTACAACTAAACTGATATTTCAACAGACTAGCAACTTATAATCCAAAATGTGAACTCAGACAAATACAACCATGAAAAAGATTCGATTGTGACCATTAAAATGAACATTCATCGAAAAAATTGGCAAAATTCAACGACAACAAATGTAGACGACGGACAGTCTTAGACTCAATAAACGATGATCACAAATACATACGTACTTGTTTAGTTTTCATTTCCGTGGTCATAGACATGTGATACTATCCACAAGGAAGAAACAACCGATAATCTTTAAAACTAAAGCATTCCGAAAAATAAAAAGAAGAGATTATTAGGAATTATTTTGCCCTAGGAAAAAACTCAATCCAGATACTAGAAACTCCTCCAATATTCATATTATGGAACGGATGATACACACATTTGCGAAAATAATCTGGATGAAGCTATCTCAAAATACTCAATCACATTCATCATAATTAACTGCACTTTTCTTTTAAACAATTTTGCATTCCCCAATAAAATATCCGAAAACTGGGAATTCAATTCCAGGTAAAACACAGACAATTGTCTGTCTTGACCAGCAATCCAAAATACTAATACCGTAAATTTAGAAACAGTTGCCAGATTATCTGCAAACAGCTAAAAAAATTTAGAGAAAGTGAGAAAAAAAAAAAAAGAAGCATACAGATTTTGGAGCGTGAAGAGAGAATTTGGTGAGACGAGGACACTCTGCCACCGCCTGGAAGCTTCGAATCGCGCTCTCAAAAGTCCTTTTCATTTGCTCGTCTCTCCGGTGGCGCGTGGGACTTGTGGAATCTGACCAATTTTCGGACCAATCGGAACACAGTGCTCTTGGTCTTGGGCCAAAACGATATGGGCCCAACTATATTTTATTTGGGCTAATCCAAATTTGGTTCAGTTAGGCCTTTCTACACATGTCCAGATTCTTCATAGTAGTAATAGTATGCTGTTCAGGCCCAAACAATATATTTCAATATTCTATTAAAAAAGCGGCGTGCTAAATCACACACTAAAATTTACTAAATCTCACACATAAATAAATAAAGTTTCTCTCTATACTCAAATTTTCTTTAACTTCTCTCTAAAATAATTTAATCCAATTCACTCAAAATTCATTATTTTTTTACGTGAATAATCATAAAAAATGAGTTCCGTTTTATTTAATATTTATTCAATTTCATTAAGCATTTTTAATTATTCAAATTCATATGAATTTGAATTTTTGCCTCAAATTTTAAGTTTGTTGTAGTTTGAACATGTAAAGTTTTTTGTTAAATTTGAACTTGGAATGCTAAGTATGTTTTTAGTACTATGATTTTGTGAAAAAAATTAGGGAAAAAGAAGAAGAGTGGGGAATAAGAATAGAAGATTTTAGAGAAAAAAAATATTTTTAATTATGTGCATGATTTGGTAAAAATAGTGTGGGATTTAACATTTCAGATTAAAAAAATATGCTTATAAAATACTATTAACATAATCAAAATCTTGTTCATCTCTTCTGTGGTTTAGCAATTTAGAGAAAAAAAAAACGAAAAGTAACAGTATTAAATTTCTATGGTAGACATTCCATAAAAGAAGAATATGCACAACAAAGCACCATCAAAAGTCGAACGTAACGGAAGAAAACAAAATTCGAAACAAAATTCGAAACAAAATTCCGGTATGCCCATGATTCCATGTACCATCTAATCATCTATTCCTGCCGACTGTTGCCACAAAATGGACAGTTGAAAATTTCACACTCTTCGTTTCCTTTAACCTAAAGAGCAAGGGCAGTGGATACTATATATTTACAATGATAATGCAATATAACATGCACCACCACCATATTACTTCTTTTCTTCAACTATCAGAAATGTACAGTTTCGTCATACATAGGAATTTTCACTATCTGACATTTCATCATCATCATCATCCAAATCATCTAGTAAAGACTGATTAACTTTCTTGCGAGATTGTCTCCTGTGCTTCTTTGCTTCCAATCTCGGTTCAGATTGCTTCACACCCGATTCTCCAATCTTGACCCTACAATAAGCGCATTCATCGTAAAATCAGTTCAATTTATTAACTACGCAACTTAAAAGGTGCAACTTTTTTAATCAAAACTGAACGTACCTCACATCACTCTCTCTTTTAGTCCCAACATTCCTCAACTGAGACTCCTCTCTGATCTTAATCTCGTCAAGCAGTTGAAGATAGAAGGGATACCTTTCCCAATCCCCTCCCACAACGCACCCTTGTTCACCGTGATGCAAGCAATCACTAAATGCACACGGTCCATTTTCCTCTAACTTTTTCCGTATCTGCAAAATAAATTATGAAATCATTTATTCCAAACTAAACAAACATACATACGCCAATTGACCAATAGCTTTTCAAGTAAAACAAGTATCAAGTAGTAGGAACCTCTGGAAAATATTGTGCAAATGACTTCTTTGTTACTTTGGTCAAACTAGGTTGACTGAACCCCGGGGTGTCAGCGAGATATCCTCCTTCGTGCAATGGAAGCAATGACACATGTCGAGTAGTGTGCTTTCCTCTTCCACTCCGTGTCGACACTTCACCAACACGCTGCTCATCCAACCACTTGCTGCCAACAATCTAAAACAAGATGAAAGTTCAAATGTTAGTGCATTTTTAATAAGAATAAGCAAAAAAGGGTGTCTAGATATAACAAGTGTGAACATACGTGTTCGAACCAATTATCATCTCCATTAGGCCCAATAACACTTGTACTGACTCGTAGTGCATTGATCAAACTTGATTTTCCGACACCGCTAGGACCAGCAACTACAGATGTTTTATCTCTTAGAATAAGTTGCAGCGCATCCAATCCTTGTTTAGTATCAACACTACAAATAATTGGATCATAGCCCCAATCACCGAGCCGAGATTTCCACTCCACCATCGTCTTCATAAAAGTCAATAGAAAGTCAATCATCAGATATAAAACAGCATTACACTACAACCAACAAGAACATATTTATAATATAACCAGCCTCAACATTAAAACCTAAATTCATGAACAGTAAAATTTGTGATTCAAATAATCCAACTGACTAAGGCAACACAAAAATCCTAATATTCCAAAATAGATAAACAGAAAAGAATTAGTTAAGAAATGAAACAATGCAATTGCAATTGCAGTTTCAATTTCATCGTACGTACCACTTCATCAACGAGCTCTGCTTTATTCAAAGCAAGAGTGAGTGGAATTCCAGTAGATTCAGCCTCAAGGAGAAACATAGAAAGCATAAACGGTTCAATTTTGGGCTGTTCGAGTGAAAAAAGCACGAGCAAATGATCGACATTCGCCACAGGAGGATCGAGAATCTCAGTCTTCCGCTCAAAAACATTCTCGATCCAACCTCTCCTACCCACCCAGTCAATCGCCCCTACCAAAACCCTATCCCCAACAAACACTCGCATCTTAATTTTCTTCAACACAGCCTTCACCACACAAAGCAGTTCCACTCCAGAATTCTCAATCTCCGAATCCGAATTCACGACCACGCGCATCATATTGGCTTGCGACGAGGTGACTGTGCCGATTGCCTGATTATCCGTCAGCGGCGGCTTGTTTTCAAGGGAGAGCCTCCGTTTATTCTCGAGAGAAAGTAGCGGAGGAAGAGTGGTGAACTGCTTTTTGAAGGTTAGTCGGCCTCTGAGTGGGTCTTTTTTAGATTGCTGCTGGTTGTGCTCCTGCTTTCTGAAATTGATTGTGTTTTTTTGGTGTTGGTGACCAGCGGCGGGGATGAAACGTTGGTGGAGGGGGATGGCGGTGGAGGGGAGCTCCGGTAGTTTTGGGCGGGGTATTGAAATTGAGGCGATAGTCATGGCAAAGGGAATAGAGGAATTCCACGGTTTCTGCTCGACGCAGGTTTTTATGTAATTATCAGACTATTTATTTTTATTTAATTTTTTTCTAATGGACCGATGTTAGTTAGTTAGTAGATTTGCTTTGAACTCGGTTGGGCTTCCTATTTGTTATTGATCCTAAGGCCCAGTATATATATATATATATATATATATATATATATATATATATATATATATATATATATATATATATATATATATATATATATATATATATATATATATATATATATATATATATATATATATATATACATATATATATATGATATATACATGTACATAAATATGAATGATTTTACACTTGATATAGAACTAAAAAGGGAATACACAAGGGTATACCAAAAGAGAAAGTGTGCGACCGTGTGTGTATATATGCATATATATAGATGTACATTTAT